CTTTGCTTTTTTCTTGGTTATTTTCACTTAGATCACACCTGTTGTGCATTGATACATAGCTGCACAAACACTGTTGTAGACATTGTGTAGACATGCAGACTTCATGTAGACATGAAAAGGGAGCATGACCAGTTTTCTGGAGCAATGCTGACGTATGTCAGTCTCCAGCGTTCTTGAACTCCCACTTGAGATGGAGCAAGAGCAAGACTCCTTGATTATATACTTTATTAGCAGCCGTAGTATTTACTGTTAAAAGATAATGCAGCTGCCAGAGGCCACATGCAATAAGTAAAAGTAATTTTAAAGCTGTGTTTTGAATACTATATTGAAGAGAGTGTTTGATTTCAACCCTGGAGGAAGAACTGATGTTGTTAGATGTCTTTGGCAGCAATATTTTTTTCACCAGTATGAAGGAAATAATTTGCATAATTGTTGGGATTACTTCTTTACTGATTGCTTTTCTGTTCAGGATTTCCACAGGCAGTAAAGAGAATACCTTTTTCAAAGGGAGAGGTTCCAAATAAACTGATCTCTTCACTGCTCATATGAATTATTTGTCAAAATAATTGTTTTTTTTATGGTAATGACTAGGTATTTCAAAAATGGGCAAAAACTCAAAGTTTAAAAATATTAAAGACTATAAACAAGATTTGTAAATTAGTATTTTTATATATGCCTAATAATATGCTTTTACATTAATTCTTTGCAGTACAGGGATCTTACTTGTTTCTCCTTCCCCTTCTTAATTTTCTGCCAGCCCTTCACTTTTCTGAAAGTAGTGGAGGAGACAAGATCTTAAATTATAAGAGATGTTTGTTTCATTTTAAGAGCTTTTCAATAGTTTGAAAGCTTCCATTAATTTTTGATTAATAGATACATAATGCTGTTTATAGTATAACGATGTATATTCCTGTTCCCAGCAACTTTTGGAAAAATTACACGCACAAAATAAATTTCATAACATGAGAACAGAGGTAAATAATATATTTCCCTGGTGCTTGCATCGTCACCTTAAAGAGTGATTGGTTTGCATTTATGTTAGAGATTCCAAAATAATAAAAGTCACAATTTACCAAATCTGCAGTAATAATTTAATTATCAGAGGAAATCGGTTTTATGCATCAGATGTATATTTTTAACTTTTTGTTCATAGTTAGTTTTAACTACAAAAATAAAAAACACTAATACTTGCTGTACAAACATATGTTACAAAGGCCTAGTTAATTGTTTGTTTTTAGTTTTAACAGCTGTCATTTGTAGCAAATGAGAGTATTTGCCATGTACTTTGTCCCTGAGCATTTGTTTGCTTTCCCAGCTTTCTTTTTCTGGAGAACTGGCTTTTCTGAATAGTACTGCCAAACTTTTAGAAGTCTCCTGTTGAGGTAAATGTACAAGTCTATGTATATAAATTGGTTTGCAACTTATATTTGCATTTACTATATGAAAAGGTCTTATCAAATTTGATGGTATATGATGCATACATTGCACCCCTTGGTATCTAGAGTAGAAAATAAGCATCTAAGATTCAGAGGTTTCTTTGTACAAGGGTATATGTGCTTCACTAAACTACAGTGTCACATGCAAACTCTCCCATTCTCGTGAATTCTGTGTTTCACTGTAAGCAGGGGCTAATGTTCACCAGGAAGCATGACATTATGTCAAGTCTTCAGCATTTTCCTGAAAAAGAAGCTATTTAAACAATCAGAACTGAGGAAGCTTAGAGCCCAGAGTTTCTACTTTATTGGCAAGAGTTGTATCTATGGACAGTTGGGCAAAATTTTGACCCAGGCACTTACGTGTCTCTCTTTCTATCCAAGCATAAAAGGAGAGTTGAACCACTTGTCTGTGGCTAATGGGACAATCAAGATGTTTCTGAGACCGTCATTACTGAGAGTTGTGACTGATATTATTGATACAGCATTTCAGGTTTCATATCCAGTCAACGTGTATCTTAACATATTAGGTGAAACTACTTCCTCATGTGTCAGGGGCTCCAAACCTTTGATTGTCTGTGTGGCCCTTTGCTGGACCCTCTCCAGTATGTCTTTCTCATACCGGGAAGCCCAGAACTGGACCCAGCCTTCCAGCTGTGGCCTCACCAGAACTGAACAGAGAGGAAGGATCGCCTCCCTTAACCTGCTGGCAACGCATCCTGAGGATGCCATTGTCCTTCTTTGCTACAAGGGCACATTTATGGTTCATGTTCAACTTGGTGTCCACCAGAACCCCGAGGTCCTTTTCTGCACAGCAGCTTTCCAACCGGTCCACAGCATGTATTGGTGCTTGGGATTATTCCTTCCCAGGTGCAAGACTTTGAATTTTTCTTCTTTAGACCTTCACAAGGTCTCTGTTAGCCCGTTTTCCAGCCTGTCAATGTCCCTCTGCATGGCAGCACAACCATCTGATGCATTATTAACCGCTCATCAAAGTTTGGTGTAGTCTGCAAAGTTGCTGAGGGTGCACTTTGTCTCATCGTTCAGGTCATTAATGAAGACATTAAATGGTACTGGCCCCTGTATCAACCCCTGGTAAGTGACTGGCATCCAGCTGGACTTCGTGCTGCTGTTTGTAAACCTTTGGGCCCAGTAGTCCTGTCACTTTTCATTGCACCTCACAGTCTACTTACCTGGTCCGTATTTCAGCAGTTTATCTGTACATATGTTCTGTGGGAAGGTGTTGAGAGCCTTGCTGAAATCGAGCTAAACATCATCTGCTCTCTCTTCGTCCACTGAGCCAGTCACGTTGTTGTAGAAGGCTGTCAGGTCAGGCAGGATTCCCCTTCACATACCCATGCTCATTTCACCTTGTCCTTAAGGATTTGTTCCATCGCCTACTCAGGGACTGAGATAAGGACTGGCCTGTAGTTCCCTGGATCTTCCTTCTTGAAGATAGGAGTGACATTTACTTCCTTCCAGTCCTCTGAAACCTCCTCCTACTACCATGACCTTTCAAAGATAACGTACCCTTAGTAAACTTTAAAAATAGCATTGATACCATTTCAAATTCTGTTTCCTTGCCTTTTTAGAGGTGAAATTATGTTGCTGTTTCACAGCTGTGAATTGCTACTTTTCAGATGCTGTCATCAATGATAAAATAGTTATGAGTGTTAAAATAGCAATTTTACACCACTTTGTGGGTTTTTTTAAATAATGCTCATGATTTAACTTTGTTGGATATTGTTCTTCTGTGTATATATTAGGGAAAATGCATCACATATTGCAGAAGCTGAAAATGCTTCATAAAATAAAACACACTTTAAGTTTTTAAGTTTTGTTTCTGTAATACAAGTATTTTTTGCCAGCTTTATTTTTTATAATATAATATTCTTTTTATTGTATTTTTTTAGCTTGTTTACTTGCAAAGACATTAATGCACTGATCAGTGAAGGAAGTGTAATGTTTTGTAGGATTTTCAGAGGGGATGGAATTTCTCTTGCATCTTGTTTTGAAAACTCATTCCTTTGTCTGCAGTTAGTGTCATAAATAGTTAGAATTTTGTGCTTTGCCATTATTTTTTGAAGTAAAGGCAATTGCTTAGTTCATTAACTCCTTAAATATTCTTTCCTGGCTTTTTACCTAATATTTACTGATACTGGGGGGAGTTTTGTCTATGACTAATAAAATAATTGGTTTGTGTTCTTACAACATCCTAAAAAATATTTGTGGACTTACTCTGTCTAATCTGAGCCATCATTTACGAGTTGAAACATGTCTTAATTTTTCTAGGTGATCAGACTGGTGTTGGGAAACTACAAACATAGCACTATTGCAAATATATTCTTTCAGGTTTTCTCATTTGTACATAATGCATTAATGTTTTTTTCAGGGATTGTGTAACAATAAATGACCCCTTTTCCCCACTGTTCTTTTGTTTCCAGTTCCATCTTTACAGAACCAGAATAAAAGTATAATGGATTTTTTCAAATTTAAAAACCAAAACAAAACCAAAAAAACCAAAACCCCAAACCAACAAAAAAACTCAAACAAAATGTATTCTTAGTGAAAGCGTCTTACTGCATTGTGGGAATGTGAAAAGTATTGAAATTCTTTACCTCAAGCTAGGAAAAAAGCCAATAAAACTTGTAATCCGCAAGTAATGCATTTATGCATCTTTGAAGGGCCAGATGCACAGCCCTTGCACCATTGAACTCTTATTTAAAATGTGTTCTGTTTCTCGCTATTTCAATTGGAAGTTCCTTTCCAAATAGCAATCAAAGATTACACAGAGTATTCTTTAAGTTTGTAGTCAGAATGCATTAAGCTTCTGCAGGTGCTTAGAAAGCAATGACCTAAAAATTGACTTACCATAGCTTGACAAGTCACTGTCTGACGGAGTGCACAGAATGTCCACATACAGACTTTGAGCCTACCAGCTTAACAGCAGGTGCCAGGAGAAGACAAATTCAGTAGCCTGGGAGAAACTGAGGTCAGCCAGGTTGTAACACCTGGGTTAGCGTGGCGAAGAGCATTCCGGTAGTTACCATGACCCAGCTGATGCGTAATAAATTGACTTAGGTCTCAACCCAGACTACTTGCCAGCTTCAGTTTTTGTTCTGTCCAGGACAGCAGTAGTGCAAAGAAGCGGAACAATTTTGCTCTGCTGCTCTTGGACAAGTAGATGAACAGCTACCAAAGTGCACAAGCATTTCCATATTGGTAGTGATAGCGAAGGCGTGTTGGTGGCAACGTGTATACTGTTTTGGTAAGCTGCATGTGCTGGATGCTGGGGGATGGAGTACATCGATCCAGTTTTAAGATGTAACCAGAAGCTGTTGTTTAAGGGTTCTGAACTGGTATTCAGAAACAGTAACACGGCGGCAATAATCCTGGTATTCTGTCTATTCCTCACAGCAAAATAGTGCAAAACTGAATTGTACAGCAGCTGTTTGAGGCATGGGCCTCCTGCTCTTAACTGCAGGCTTCATTTTCTGAGTGATCAAGTATTTGGAAGTACAAATACAAGAAAAATGTTAATCAGTTTTTCCTTTCTGTTTCTTTTAGGACTCCTCCAGGATGGTTTCAAGCAGGTATAAAAGGTATGAGATCTTTGTACACAACAGATTTCTCTACATGCATAGTTCTACCAGAAATAAAGTTGATTAAATAGGTGTTTGTAGTAGAGGTCACCATACTGCTACTGTAGATACATTGCCTGATTTGGGGGTAAGGACCTGAGAGATGCAGCAAATTTGTGCAATCCCCTCTGTTACACTACTGTTTTAAAATAAACTCAGCTAGTATTTTGCTGGGTCTTACTATTGCACAACAGTTTCCCAAGCAAATGTCTAACTTGACTACACATTACATGGGAGCTAGTAGTTTCACAGTTAATTTATGAATCACTGACTTCTGATGTTTAATACAGGAAGATAATTTTGTTGCTCTCTGCAATAATATTGAAAGAAATTTCTATGGTTTTGTCATACTACTTTCTCAGTTGTAGGGGATGCTGCCCACATGTAGCATGTCCTGTTTGTTATTTGCTTGTCTTTGAGCCAGGTGTTACCCTGGCCATTACTCAAGTTCTTCAATCAGAAAAATATTTCAGAAGCTCTTGATGGACCTCACCAGTGTGTGAAATTTTTGCCCATGTGGAATTAATATTGGCACAGCTATCACAATTATTAGGAAAATGTAATGGTAACACGGGGTCTAAAATACATCAACTGAAGCAAGGCATTTGTGTAAACATATTTTTATTTGACACATGACTGTATTCTCTTTTAGATATTCTTTAATCATGTACAATGTGTAGGTGGTTAATTCATCTGTGTATATGTATCCTTGCTGTAGAAGTAAGTGCAAAGAGCACCTACAATTATCTAGTCTTCAGTGGTGTATTTTCAGCCCCTCAGACTTGTTCACCTGTAGAATCATAGAATGACTTGATTGGAAGGGGCCTTCAAAGATCATCTTGTCCAAGCCCCCTTCCACTAAATTACATTGATCAAAGCCCCACCCAGCCTGACCTTGAACACTTCTGATGATGGAGCATCCAGTACTTCTTCCATTGTCTCACCACCCTCATTGTAAAAAGTAATACCCTATCCTGTTATGCTTTAGACTTCGTAGTGTGGTGCTGTCTTATATTTACATTCCTGGGTTCTCATAAACCTAGTTGAGTGATGCTTTTTATTGCTGTATGGTTTTCTTTTTAAATCACTTGGTCATTGCAGAATGGGTGGACTTACTGTCACAACCTTAATAATTATACAATTTCATGATTACTTTCTGACTAATCAAACACATTTTAGTTCACTCTCCACTTCCTTTTCAGTCCCTGTGCAGAATTTCATTGCTATTTTTATTTGCTGAATGCTTAGCTATGGGTGTCATAGTGCTTTGTGGCTTTTCATAAACCTTATCTTTACTCTGTTCACGTGCTGTATATACTCACTCACAAAAACTTGTGTGGGGGGTGGTAATAAATAGAAGTTTGCACAATCACTTTCATAGCTTATTTGAAAATGAGCTAGTTCTTCTGTTGAGCATTGTAAAAACAGGAAACTCCAAGGCTAGAAAATGCTAAAATAAGACTTGTTTGTGCAGTCTTCCCTCAGTGAGCTTTAGTTATATGTGGGATGTACAATCTTTGTGCATCAGTTTTCCCCCTCAGGACTGGCACTGCATTCAGGAGGAATCTGACTTGCTGTGAGCTGCTGTTCAATATTTTGTTTATATATGTTGCCATCTATCTTACTTATTGCATAATCTTCAAACCTCATGTTGAAAATAAAGGATTATTTTCTTGTGAAATCAGTACAGTGCCCAGTGCTTGCAAATACCAAGGGGGTTTTATTCTAACTATACCTCCATGAGGTATACAATGCCCACTGTGATTATAGAGTTAAGGTTATCGGTTGATTTTCCTCTATATTTGAAAATTTCTACCTCCCCTGAAGTAATTTTTCAGGTAAGAGTACTTGAGCAAAGTATGTCTCCCAGTGGCTTCACTTTCTGGAATGAGTGCTGAAGGCATCAGGACCAGACTCATCTTCTGTTCTGACAATGTTTGGCTTGTTTGCCCCCTCCAACATCTGCAGTAAGGGGAGGGCTTACAGAAAACAGCCGACTCTGCAGTAATTCTTACTCAAATCACTTGGATCTCACTTAAGGCCCAAATACAGTAGAAGTCCTTTGGAAACTGAAAATGCCGTTCTGTGATTACACTTAGAACTGGAATGTGAATGCCAAAAGGCTGAATTGAGACCATAAGCTGCTTGAAGGCTCAGATATGTTCATCTTAATGTGCTGTTAACAGTTTTGGGTGTACTCCCTTAGGTTTTCAAAGCAAACTGAGAGCAAAGCATGTTCTCACATAGGTTGACTTGCGTTACTCTGACAACAGGTGGTCAGTACTTCGTGCGTGGGGAAGAGACTGCTAGTAGACTTTATAGCCATATGACAGCATGAGTAAAAAGATATTTTCCTGAAATCTTGGATTCCGTTATGGAATCCCTCCCCTATGGAAAGAATGCATTTGCCCAAAATTTTCAGGTCATTTTGCTCCATCTTTATTCCTCCTGTTTCTTCTCTTTTGCTTTCTCCCTCTTCCCTAGTTCTTCATCAGAAGTGACATCTCAGCATTTTTCTTCGCTTCACTGGTTTCTATTTCCTAGCCCAGTTAGATACTCTTACCTCTCTCCCCCCCATCTCTTACATCTTTATATGTAACCATTGAGATCCTAGCCTTCTCTCTGTTATGTTTCTGATTTATTGGGGTTTTTTTCCTGTTTTGTCTCCATCCTCTGTCCTCTTCTGACTTCTAGTCCTGGTTTACCGTTACCATCCTGGGCTTCCAGTACCTTCCCTTTCCCTCCCCATATAACTGTTTTCATGTCTGCATTGAGATACCCGTCCTCCTGGACCTAACAAGACGAGAGAGACCGAAGAGCAGAGAAGGATCTGTGCTGTGTGTTCTCATGGAATTGCTGTTCTTTCAGTATGTTCCAGGGCTCAAGGAATTGCACAGATTTTACTGCCTATTTAATCACACACACTGGCTACTTTGCCTTGTAGGGATGCAGCAGCCCATGGTTAAACGTTTATATGACATTGCTGAGAAACCCATTTCACTGGGTGTCCATTGACTGGAAGACATGTTTACAAATGAACTCTGCTGGCTGCTGTTGTGTTATTCTACTTCTCTTCTGGCTGACTTGGAAAAACCGAGCCTGTCTCCTTATGCAGTAAATAAAAGTTCGGAATGAGGATCTTAGTCTACAATTGTAGTCTGTCTTCTGAATTTGAGAGACTTCCACACTTACACACCAAAAGTTTGTATAGGGGTTCCTTTGCAGTTGCATGATTAACCACATAAAATATTTTCAAAAGAAAGTGATAGTTCTGTTGAGATCTGGAGTGGTGGTGTAAGATCTGTTAAAAGCATGACCACAATCTTCAAGGTCATGCGAACATGGAGGCCACAGGACATGTTCCTGAGGGTATTTGGGAGCTGTGATCAGCCATCTGTCCTGACTGTGAGCTTCATTCACATGATTAAAATGTGTAGGCATCCTTCAGTTGTAATAGCCCACATCAACTTCCTCATCTTTTGTTTTTCTCTAAGCTTTTCTTAATGTGAGACGCCTCATCTTGGCCGTTCCAGACCACTGTTACTGTAACTGGGTCTACCTGTTTTTGCACCGTTTCCTGAGTAGTTATTTTAAAGCGACAAGCACATTGCCATTAGTAGGAATGGTTTTCTGATTCAGGTCTGATGCTATCAGCTTAGTTGGTGTCATCACTGATTTCTCAAACAAGAGAATGACGAAGTGTATTCTGTTTATTGAAATATTTGAGTGTAATCTACATGTAAACATGAATTATTTTTCTCTTGCATTCTGTGAACTAAAAAGTCTGTTTGCAAATAACAGTAAAACAAGATATGTGTGTGGACATAGGAATATTTTTGTAAGCACAGAGAGTTTGTTTTAGCAGCCTGCTTTTAAGACTGTCTACTGCCTTTTGAACCAATTTAGCTTCTTTTTAGAAATGTCTTAAATTGAAAAGAAAACCTTGCAAATCAGAATTTAAAATAACCCAGAAGATTTTTTGCATGGTTTGTGGATCAGACAGATCAGGCTGAATCAGTTTACAGAAAGAGTTAGATTAAAATCTCTTAGTGGTTCAGGGGTGTGTTCCCCTTATAAGTTTGTTTATTAGTGGAAATGAATACAATATGGTATGGTTTTATGGCTTCCAGACAAAATGTCAGTTTTTCCCCCCCCCCCCCCCCCTTCTTTTTAGGGTAGTACAGCACACTAACATGGAACCCAACAGGTGGAGACCCTTGCCCACTAATTCTAAAAGACTGTATTGTACTCAAGTTTAACATTCATGCAAGAGTTGAAAAATAAATGAGGAAGAAGAGACCACCAGAAGAGAGGAAGCTAGTGCTTCAGAGTATTCAGTTGAGGTGCTCTGAAGGAAATGTTAAGAGTGCTGCTGAAATTCTCTTGCTCAGTGTTTTTAGATTACTACAAGGCTTAAACTGTAACAATTTACATTCCATCATACTAACCTTGGTCTCACTAATTAAAAAAAAAAAAAATACAGCTGCAAAATACTCTTTCATAACACTATGCCCAGACTTGCCTGCTTGCCTGTGTTTGGGAGTTTTGCAGCGAGGGTTAGCTGTTGAAGCATTGTCTCATCTCCCTTGTTACATTAGGACCACTACTGCCCAGATAGGAACACTTAAAATAGACGGGGTTACCCAAGGTGCTTTTCTTAACTTTTGTATCCCCTTTTCAGCAAATGCTGATGTTATGAGAAGGCAGAAACACTTAGGGTTTATTTCTGCAGAAGTTTTTGATGGTTGAAGTTGAGCTGGCTGCAGTTCCTCGCTGTCCCTTGTGCCAGTGCTCATACAGCTGGGCAGGGTGATGCTTTAGGTAGCCACTGTGGCTGAAAGTCGAGGGCTGCCTTTTGCTGGGCTGCTGGATTCCTGCGTCAGCTCCTTGAATGGTTTCCTACTCGGTCAACTGAAGACCAGAGCCAGGAAAGCTGGAGGAGGCTAGGAACGTGCAGCTGTAGAGAAGACAAGACTGCCTTTCCGTAGCTCAGCTCTTAAAGCCACAAACGCGGCTTAAGCAGTCCAAAGTAACAGAAGTCCAAGGTGGCCTATTCAGAAATAATTGTCTTTTGCTTATTCTTCCAATGAAGCTGTTAGCAACTGACTGGATTGCAATGACATAATTCATTAGGAGTTTCCAAATCCAGTAGAGTTAGAAGATTCTGGCAATAAAAATAAACATGTTGTAGTTGAAATCAAGGGAATCTGGTTTTGGCTGGGTGATTTTAATTGGATGAAATTGCAATTTGGACGGTGCTTCAGGAAGACATTGAGAGAACCAGAGAGACGTTGGAAGGAGGAAGTTTTATTCCACCTTTCTGTAATACTGCTGTTAAACTTGCCCCTGCATGAATAACTGATTTTATTTTAAAGGAAATGAGTAGAACAGCATTCCAAAACAAAACTTTAGTTTCTGTGTAAGAGTAGTCAAACTGCAATGTGAGTTGATGTTGCTATATGATTTTTATTTTAAGTACAGCCAGAAAAAACTTTCAAAAGCAAGTTGTCTTAAGTTGCAAACGTGTTTTCTGTTTTCAGTGTTCTAGCACAGGTATACACATTTAAAATGAGGTTTTGATAGTGGCTAATTGAAAATAAGCTAGTGGAATAACAAGTTGAATTTTGTTAAACATCTTGTCGAACATGCCCTTTTGAAGCAGTAGAGTGGGATGTTTCTATCCAGATGCATTCTCATTTGCACTCTAATCCAGTGTACATATGGCTACAAATACAATCTCAGATACTATTCTTGAAAAATAATTTTTAAAATACTGTTTCGTGCAACCATAGCCTGTGGATAGATGTATCAGCTGCAAGTCTTGAAACAGTCACGTACATAAGTTACTTGAATGCTAAAAAGTGGAATATGCTTTGAATTGCATTCCTGAGCAGTGACTCTAAATTTTTTCAACTTGCAAACCTCTATAATTTTTCTGCTGGTGCTAGTGACCACTTTTAGCCAATGTACATCTACTGACAATAGGCTTTCTTTTCTTTCGTACCTTTTGTGAGGTTCCAGCAACTTCCAAGTTCCAAGTATTTGTAAATCTTTATCCAGTTAGGAAGTGGAGGAAGCAAGGCTTTGGTTGCAGTCTCAAACTAAACTGGCTCTGCTGTCAAATGCATGCTCTTTTCCCCTCTCCCCCAAAAGAAGGCATAAACCCATATTGTTTTCTTAGCAGTATACAAAGCTCTTCAGTTTGGACAGATTGTTAGTAGTAGTAGTACTGTTGTTAGATATTTATAAATATAAAATAGATTATATATATATATAAAAATATACAGGTATACAAGTATATTTCCATAGAGATATCTTTGTGGGGCTGGTTGATAAGTATTTTCTTTTAGTAAAGCATAGACACCAAGTTCAGTGGTACTGTTATTCTAAGGTAAGTTTTCTTCCTGTTTACTGTGTACTGAACGTTGGTTATATCAGCCAAAATAATGAACTTTGTCACATTCCTTGTGTTAGGTTATGGACCAATGCTTCCTTAAATGTTTTTTTTAAATCCCATTTCCCAGAAGTCTTCATGATATGTCCTTTGTACTTGCTGATACTGAAAAGGAATGTGTTCAGGAAGGTCTACTCCCCAGTGAAATAGGTGATGAAATTTTTGAGTGTGAGTTCCAGGGAAAATGCAGAAAATGTCTTAATTTTCAGTATTAATGAAACCCTTCTTATCTAGGTGTTCTTTCTTCTAACTTTCCTGTAGGAGCATCTGCCAATATCACTCACTGGAGCTGAGTTGATACTCCAGATTATTGGCAAAAGGGTTCATTTTTGAGTAATGAAAAATCAAGCCTTTTTTGTGTGATCTATCCTAGAGACATTAACAGCACAAACCAACACATCTTTCAGAAAGCTAAATAATCTAGAATTTATAGAGTTAAGCTAAAATATTTCTCTTATGTTGTGTTGCAACATGCATATCCGGTCCTAGAAATGTTTTTTTAAAAAAAAACCCTCTGGATGAAGAATAAACAGTGCTAAATATGGTAATAACATTAAGCTACAAAATTCCTTACAATTGTGTCAGTGTGCCTTGGAAACTTCACACGTACTGGAGCAAAACAATATTTATATCCATGAAAAGACAGCCCTTTGCCAGATAATCCTGCTTTTGATTTGCACTGTATCCATCTAGATATGCACGTTGTCAGCAGGGGTTTTCTAGAGTTATGAAATGCAAAACCGTTAAACGAACTCATTAATCATATACTCTTCTATGTTTCAAAGGAGATGTTGTAGGGATACTCATAATGCTTTTCATTCTTTTCCTAAGTGCTCTAGAAAACCATTGTATACAAATTTCAGCTGCGTGATTTCACAGAATCACAGACCGGTTGAGTTTGGGAGGGACCTCGGGAGGGGATCTGGTCCATCCCCCCTGCCCAAGCAGGGCCACGGAGAGCTGGTTGCCCAGGACCATGTCCAGGTGGCTTTTGTTTATCTCCATTTGAGTTGTCCTGGTGAAGACTGAACAAGGTGGTTTTATTTTTTGTCTTTGGCTCTTTAGTTGTGTATTTTCAAAGTTTAAGAAGTGTAGTTTTGGTGGATTGAGCAGGGAAGGCTCTGTATCTCTCTGTTTGGTCCCAGGGCACTCTATTCTGCTGCTCTTAGTTATTCATTAGATTCTACACTGAAGGTAAATAAGAAATAACATTGCTATTAAGTAGAAAATAGCTATTAGGAAGAACACTGTTAAATTTATGACTTTGAAAATGCTTAACTTCTCATATATATTTTTAAATTAGGACTGGTTTTGTACATAGCAATCACGATGGAGAACCCATAAGCTTTTTTTAAAACTAGCTTATGTGCATTTGCAATGCTTATCTGTTAAGATTCCATGGCAGGGATTTTTAAGGAATAGACACATGATCTAAAACAAAAAACATACCATCAGTTAATAAGTGCCTACCAGCTGAGCTATGACAAACTGCTGTGTATCCAAGTTCTAAAGTAAAATATATTGAAATGGCATAGAATCAATATGTTGGGCTGCATCACTTTCTCACTTTGGTTTGCTTTCCAGTTCCTTATAGGCCATATCCATAGTTCCTGAAAAGTGAGTTGATATGTGTAAGCTTCTTTCATTTTGGACGTGTACTTATTTTTCATCCATTATGTCTTCATCTGCTTAAAAAGATGATTTAAACTGTAGTGGTACTTTACTTTTTAAAATAAAGTTGTTTAGCTTGGTTTTTAATGTGCACAGTCAATAAAACCTTAAAATCTTTAAAAATAAGATAGAATGTGTTTAAAGTTGATTACCTATGTGATGAGAGCTGCATTATCCAAGTATTTGACTCCCTGAGGCAGTGAATTTAGTGAGTTCTCAGCAACACAAGAGCTGTGAAATAAGTTCTCTGCAGTTTATTTAGAATGACCTATTGGGTGCTTTGGAAAGCGTTTCTTGTTACTTCTATCATTTCCATTTTGTTAAATGTCTAAATAGGTGTCTGCTTTGCTCTTTGCCTTTGTAGCACAACTAACGTGCCAGAAGACGATGCTCCGAATAGATATTCCCGAACAGACAGGACAACTTACAGCAGATACAGCAGGGATGCAAATTCTTCTGGCAGTTCTCTACCAAGTAACGCTTTGGAAAAGAGGATTGAGGAACTTGAAAGGGTGAGTACCAACTAACATCTGCATGGCTTACATCTGAAGTAAAGTACCTTTGAAACTCCATGGCGAAATTTACAAGTAAAATGTATAGAAATGATGCTAAATGCCTAAAGTACAGATAGTTATGTCTATAAAAAGGTATAAAGAGTCAGATGGACTGAGAAGAATGTGAACTTTCTAATCACAGATGTTTAGTTTTCATTTGGTATAGAAGTGAGAAGTAGTTGAGGTAAAGATAATACACTTAGAGAGCCAGCAGTGCTCTTCATATTTCTCGTATGTATCTTGTGACAGACCAACGCAGGGCAAATAATTTGGGTGAAGGGGGGGCTTGCTGGCTGTTCCGAAAATTAGTAAGCCTGTTTCTGATCTACTTCTTGTTTTGAATTTTTTAATGTACTGAAATACTATAAAATTTTATTGCTATCTGGTTGTTTGTTAAAGTTTTAAACATTTAAAATATGTATTTAAAACAAAGTTTTCATTATTTCAGACATTCTTCATACAAACAATTTTGGGAAAATGTAGTAATGTTAAACCTGAGTTTTTCACCTAAAACAATATTTTCTTAAATAATGTAATATGTATAATCTATTACTGGCTTCTTTGTCTTCCTCTGAAGTCGATTTTTGTGGGTAACTTGCCAAATATTCTTGAATTCATATGGATGAAAGTTACCAAGTAAATACAATTTGAATAGATCTTTTTTGTAAAGGATGAAAATAAAGCGTATTTTGTAGATTTATTTTTTTTTATTTTTTTTTTTTTTTTTTAAAGACTTGGGGAAGCCTAATTTGAGTGAAGTACACCATAATCCTCCCTTTCAAATCAGCTTCCTTCTGAAATAATTTAATTGCCAGTAACACAGAAAATAGAGGAAGATTTAAGGGCTTTCTTTCAGTATTCTGAACCTTGATTTACTGAGCTCCTAATAGACATTTTCATTTTTTTCTCACATTTAGGCCCACAGATCTAACAGTGAGTCTTCATTCCTTGTTAATGGTTGAACGCCCCCCCCCCCCCAACTAAAAACCCAAACAACACAACAAAAAAAAAACACCAGCACCCGCCCCCCCCGGTATAGTAACCCTCCCAATATAACAAATTTGGAAGGTAATACTATACATTTACTTCTGTTTTGGGCCCCTATCCAATTTTGGGTTCATGCTTAAGTTAAATAGTAATTAAAATGTTATCTCTGGAATCAGAGATACCACACTGGCTTGCTGTAGATAAAATATTTTCTTAGACATGATTCTTTAGCTCCTTGAAATGTAGGGGCTTGAAGATGTGCATTTGACTTGCTGTAGAAAAGGAATTACAGGTAAGTGTGTGTGTGGGTTTCTTCTTTTTTTGTTTGTTTTAAGTGGTAATAACTTAAAACTGTCTTTTAAAACCAAAAATTACATTTCAAACTTCATTTTATATTCTGGTTTTAGGAACTTGCAAAGGAGAGACAGGAAAATGCAAGATTAATGAAGATGACACAGGACAAAGAGGAACTAATTGGAAAACTGAAGGAAGAAATTGATTTATTAAACAGAGTAAGCACATACTTTCTTATATGGTGCTATGTAAAGAGGGGGTGAAAGTCTCTGCATTCTTTGTGCTCTGCTTCAGGCACCTGCATCCACTGGGCAAGGTCAGAAGAGAATTAAGTGGGGTTTTTTTTGTATTTGTATAACTTCTCAAGAGGCTTGTCAATAAGTTATATTTTTTCCCAGGTGACTTGTTTGTCATGATTAACTTCTGTAAATTGTGTGTTACTGGAGTACCAGAGTTTCTTGTTTCTATACGTGTTTGTAGAATAAGGTTATAAAAGCAAAAGTTCTTTGCTGCCTCTTCTTTCCAAGTTCAGTATGTGGCATACCAGGAAATAATTAAGTTGGGGGGTTGACAATTTTTCTCAATAAATTGTTGCCCAGGACTTTTGTTAGACAAAGTAATTATAAATTTAATTTCATTTTAGTCAGCTTTTAATTACTAATACTAGTTTAGATCTTAGAAAGATTTGGGAATAGGTGCTTCATATTCTGACACATATTCTCATACTCTTTATTGTTGATTCCCAAGGCAGAACAAGATGGGGGCAGAAAACACAGTCTAGCATCACTCAGGCAAGGTGTGTAGGCAGGAGAAAAGCGGGTAGAAGAGTGAGACATGCTTGGGAATGGCATAGGATGAGAAATGTTAAAGTTGATAGAAGATACCAATTTTAAAAAGTCCTCATGTTGCACTTCCTGACTGAGGTACAGAGCCTGGATGTACTAGGGAATTATGCCTCCACTAGTCCAGTGCAGACATTCCCATAAAAATTCAGAAAAAAATTTCAGGACTGGATTTGGTCAATCCAGCAGTAACAAGACACAATAACTCTATGTGTATAGTGGCAAACTTTCACTTTGCACTATTCATTTGTACCAAAGGATGACAGCATTCACAAGTTTGCAAACTAATCTAGAGAATGAAAGGAGATGAGATTATTCTGAAACAGGTATCTTTTATCTTTTTTATAAAGAAAGTTGGAAGTTAATCTGTAAGATAAAGGAAATATTGTCTGTTTTGGAGAGATTTCTATTTTAATTGAGGAATTGATGTTCATGTTGTTCTTCCATTCTGCAAAGAATCTGTGGCATCTAAGCTGGTGACCATACTACAATCAAGGCAAATGGTCATTCCTTCTACATAATGAATGGAAAAGCTACTTAATACTGCTGGTCACACCAGACTTCCTGACTTAGAGGTCAGAAAGAACAAATCAAAACAACCTAAATCACTGAAAGCTTGTGTTTCAGGACCCTGGCTGTTTGCGAGGTTTGCTGCTCCAGAAACAATGTTATTTTTTTCTGCTATATTTGAAGTGTGATCTCCTAAGTTAAATCCATTGAGTGTCTGACTAGAAACCATCTTTGAACATGTCACCCTTTAAGGCTGGGTAGAGCTTAAAGCAGATGGCAGATGCTCTCTATTAACCCTTTCCCTTCCCAGAGGGGAAGGAAAGGAGAAAAGGGAGTGAGACTTATGGGTTGAAAAATCAAAACAACTTTAATAAAACAATAACAATGAGAAAGAGTATAATAATACTAATATTACTAATAAAAGTAAAATTACACAGAACCAATATTGAGCATCCCAGTGATGATCGAGGGACCATGGGCAGGGTGGGCACCCAAATGTCGCAGACTGGACTCAGCAGCAGATGGCAACCAGATTCAGGAATGCATGGATCGGGACGCTGGCCATAAAAGAAAGAGTGCTGACTCCCGTGATCACCCCTTAGCTTTATACTGAGTATCCACATGTATGGGATGGAATACTTCATTGGTCAGTCCTTGGTCACCTGTCCTGTCTGCAGCTTCCTGCAGGTGCGACCCTTTTCTGCCTCCCCACCCGTGGACCACAAGAGAGCCTGCAGTGACTCTGGTTCCTGTAGGAACAAGCACAAACATGGGTCTTTGCATGATAATCCCACTACTTTAGCAAGAGCTACAAATATCAAGTGCCATCAACTCTAAAAGCAGACAGTGTCTGAAGAACATGTAGTCAACTTCAGAAAGTGCAGTAACTTTAGATGAAACTTAATTGAAGGAAAATCTACTGAAAGAGACTTGGTCCTGTTTTAGCCAAACCAGGACAGATCTGGTTTAGCCAAACCAGTGAAGTCAAGCAGTGCTTGTGCCTTGCCTGTGTTAAGTATGATGGCAATTTCTGCTTGTTGTGTGGAAAGAAAACATAAACCAGAATATAGTCCTTTCAAAACCCTCTTTGTTATATGATGACTAAAATTGTACCTTTCCATGAGCTCAACAAAACCATCTTACTGGTGCTCCCTAGGTAGCTTCTCTTAAATGCAGAAGAGAATAGGGTTTTTTTTTTTCCTCCATCAAGTCAGCATTTATCATAGCTATAACATTATCTGGTGGCTTAATTGCAGTGCAGGTTATTTATGTTTGCATCCCTTGGGCTTTTCTTAATGATGAAATAACTGCCTTTAACTTTGACTAGCATAATAATTTGTCTTCTTACAAAAGTTTGAACCCATGCCTCAAGTGATGCTTCCATTAAAACAGATATGGTTTTGCTTTTTTTTTAATAGCTCTTGGATTTCCATTGCTTCTATACTGACTATCCATATGGATTTAGAGAGAGGAAAGGTTTAGAATATTAACAAAAGCTGCAGAAATACTGTATAATTCCCATGATAGAAGGTTATGGAAGTTAATAGGGTAGTTATATTTGCCTAAGGTTTATTATCATAACTGAGATCACGAGAGCCAGCACTTGGACATCTATCTGTTCTTCATGGAACATTACTCTGTAGACCTGGCTCCAGGATTGGATGCTTTGCATGGAAGAACAGTTGTGATCTTCAGCCTTCTACTCAGATAAAAGGATGTCCCAAGGACTAAACTTTACTTAGTGAGCTTATGCAGAGGTCTTTTTAAAAAGTTTTGCTGGTAGGCAGTCTAAATAGGGGTTTCTAAATTTGACCATCTATGCATTCATAGTATTTCTCCGTCTTTTGTGTTCATCAAAATACAGAGTTATTGTATGTTAAGTTGCATAGATATAGAAAGAATTTCACATCAAAGAGCCTGGGTAACTTCTTAAAATGCCATTTTATTGCATGGCTTTCTGACTGCTCAGGCTCTTTCTAGAAGTTTCAGTCAGTTCATAACCATGGATGCATCCTTGATTGGCAAAGATCTTGTGTTATGCTTGAAAAACTTTTTCCAAGAATCCTGAAAACTTCTTGGCAGACTTTTTCTTATTTTAAGTAAATATATTTATTTAATGTAACAACATAGTTTTACTGAGATTAGTCAGTACATCACAAAGATACTTAAAGAACATGAGCTGCATTTATACTGAGAAACAGAAAAGGCTTTCCGCCATAAATGACATTCTTTCACTGCAGTACATTAGCCACTAAACATATGTCTACCACGTTTTTTGCAAGAAAGGGGTAATTGCTTCATAAAAACCTCAAATGTCTGAAGGGAAAGGCATCTCAAGACATTTAAATATTTGTAGGCTAAGGTCAACTGTTGACTAGTTTACACTTGGTCATCTCTGACCTCACTAAGATGTCATTGTAGTTAAATGTGTGTTTGGAGAGAGTCTGTCAGTGAGGATTTACAATCCAATTAGTGCCAGTTGTGTAGTTATTGGTTCTTTGGTATACAAAGTCCAAGCTTTCCTGCTATTGCATCTTTTTTACTAATAAGCATAAATCAGTGTTGTAATTTTGAATAAGAAACTTTAAATTTCAGAGTGGCAAAAACCACCTGCATCTCTCAGTCCGTTGTTTCTATAGATATTTAAACTGCAATAGTTATTTCTCCTGGCTCATATTCAAGAAACTCTTACTTGTAGTAATCTTTGGAATGTTATTTTTGCAGCATAAACATTTCACAAACTTCTAGTATTTTATTTTGAGTAAATTACAGCTATTCTAAACAGAAGGTTTTTAGGTAAGTTTTAATTGAGGCATCTGATGGCTAGGTTAACAAGTTCAATCACAGTATTATGTATATGTATACTGAACTAAAAAAAAAAAAAAAAATCACTTTAATGAAAATGTGTTGTCCCTTCCATCTGATTATTAATCTGAACTGCACAAGAGAGAAAACAAAGTGTGTTTCTTACAATTACATAGTAAACTGTATTTATAGTAGCTATCCATCAAAACTTTCCATGTTTAAATATCTAAAGTCACTTGTATCTGTTGTGTCGGAGTGGTCAAATGTTTTTCCTGGAAGTCATTCATACTGTGATGCAGCATCACTTCTGTGAAGCAAAGAGGAATTTCTGCTAGTGATTTCTTGATTCCACATTACAAAAACAATAAAGTAATTGCGAAGGTATTGCAATATGGATTTTGGCTTGGCAAACTGAAGAGGCTTTTAAAAATCATTATACCAATTAAAGACATCTCTAGCATGCACTTCTGGAATGACTCCACTGGAAAAAAAAAAAAAGAAAATAGGCTTCGTATGTCAAACACCGCTTAACAACTTAAAGGAACAAAAGAGAGAAAATTTTTTCTCTCCTACTGTTTTAAGTTTAATCTAGCATGGCAACAGTAGGGTTTTGCAGACTTCAATCAAAAGACATCTAAGATCTCCAATGACAATCCTGTTTTTCCCTCCTGTGCCTGCCTTTCATTTTCCACTTTAAAGTAGTGTCCTTGAGGTCACTTTTCTGTTTATTCATTTTTTCATTATCATTCTCTTTCTTCCATGTTTTTTCTTTTTGTACAATGAAATTATTTTTACTGAAGTAATGCTAACATTAAACAGGCAGTTTCACTGGTTTTCACTTTAAAGGCTTGAAAAGACTTGGTAGGAAGTGAAGAAGTGAAATGGGAACTGGGTAAATATGGTAATTGGTAGAAGAGGGATGAACATTTGGGGTGGGAGCAGTCTATTTTAAGCACCCATTATTACTGTGTATGCTGTCTGTTCTTTCAGTAGCAGTTTACACAGAAGTTACAAAATGCCTTTTAATTTTTTTCACGGGAAACAAAAAGAAAATGGACAAGCACTACTGTTTCTTAAAATTCTGATACTTAATTTACAACACCAAACAGGTCTTCTCTCAGTAATAACCAGCGGTGTGTATATGTGAGCAGGATAGTTGCAGACAAGCGGAGCCTGGGGAGCAGAGGCAATAGCTGAGTAATACATTCTCTGTATATGCCAATAAAATAATCATGCCCATCCTATTTTGGTTTCTTGATGCATTCAT